TGCGTTCCAAGCCGGCAAAGTATCTCGGCTCCCTTGGTGGGAGCAGGTAAGACCGTTTCTCCTATGGGGGGGAGATCGGATGTGAATGATGGGTCTTTCACAAAGGGAGAAAGCGCAAGCCCCATCTGTTTCAAACTATTTCCATTTGGTCAAAATCTTAACCACTTTATCCGCCATTTCCTCCTCCTCCTCCTCCTCCCTCTTCCCCCCCCCCCCTCCCCGGTCTCCTCCTCCTCATCCTCCTCCTCCTCCTCCTCCTCAATCATGTCTCTCCCCGATCCTTTCTCCCCACTTTCCCATGTTCCTCCTCAAACTGCCCGAAAGGTGACTCTGACGCTTCTCTTTCCCCTTCCTCGTCTTTCCCATCCCATCTTTCTTCCCAGCTCCTCTCCAACCAGCCGCTCCCCCTCCAGGCTACTCCGCTCCTCCTCCAGGTTTGCCTGAGCTCAGACTTGTAAATTGAGCTGAGAACTTCTTTTCCTTCTCCCCCTCTCCCTCCTCCTTTCCCCTTCCCCTTCATCCCTTCCTCGTTCCCTCCTATTCCCCTTCAGGCTACTCGGCTCCTCCTCCAGGTGTGCATGGAATTGTTGTAACTGGCCATCGTCGCTGAAGACTTTCTCTTCTCCTTCTCTTCCTTGGTCGCCTTCTCCTTCAGCTGCCCCACCTCCTGGCTACTCGGCGCCCCCACCAGCATACTCTGCTCCACCTCCAGGTACTCCGCATGCCCGATATGTTGCAAGGTAGCACCATCGCTGTACCTAATTCTGTTCTGTTCTTCTCCTCACCCCCTCCCTCTTCTCGCCTTCCCTTCTCTTGTCCTTCAGCTGCTCCTCCTCCAGGCTACTCCGCTCCTCCTCCAGGTATGTCTCAAGTGCTGGGGGATGCTAGTAATTACTGAAGACTTCCCCTTTCCCCTCCTCTTCCTCCTCCTCGTTCCCTTCTATTCCCCTTCAGGCTACTCGGCTCCTCCTCCAGGTATGCCTAGAAGTGGTGTTACTGGCCATCGTTGCTGAAGACTTTCGCTCTTCCTCCCCTCTCAACCTCATCTTCCTCCTTCTCCCTCTTCCCGGCCCTCTTCCTTCCATTCCAATTTCATTGCCTTCTCCTTCAGCTGCCCCACCTCCTGGCTACTCGGCGCCCCTACCGGCATACTCTGCTCCTCCTCCAGGTACTCCGCATGCCCAATATGCAGCAAGTTGCCACTATTTTTAACACTTATTCCCTTTCGTTCTCCTACTCCTCCTTCAGCTGCTCCTCCTCCAGGCTACTCCTCCCCTCCTCCAGGCTACTCCGCCCCTCCTCCAGGCTACTCCGCTCCCCACCGGCAGCTGCTCTACCCCCAGCATACTCTGGTCTACATGACCTGAGCTCAACATCATATTGGTCTTGACCTTCTTACCAGCTCCTCCCCCGCAGTACGCTGCCGCTCCTCCTCCTCCTCCTCCTCCAGGTTCGAGTTCCCATGTGCAGGTCGTGAGAACATCTGACGTGTCCCTACAGCTGCGGCGGTGGTGCTCGGGATCTGCTGGAGTTGATCTCATGCTCTGCGCAGGATGCTCTTCCTCCAGGCTGGAAGAAATTCCAGGACGCTACCGGCCGAGCTTACTATGTGCCGCTGCTCCTCCTCCCCTCCTCCCTCCCCACTGACGCTCTCCTTTCAGTTGAGCCCGGCGGGCACAACACAGTGGGACCCTCCCGCTTTGCAAATGGCTCCTCCTCCCCCTCCTCCCGTGCCGGCTCCTCCCCCTGTCCAACCTCTCCCCCCAGGAACGCGAGGCGGTTCCGTATTGTCAGGATCTGACGGAAGGAGCAGGATGGCAGGAGCTCAAGGACCCAAACTCAGGAAGAATCTACTATGTCAACCCCTCGACAGGACAGTCGCGCTGGGACCGTCCCTAGAGGCCTCAGTGCCGCACGTGCAGAGGGAGGGCAAGAGAAGAAGAATCAACACAAGAGGCACTGCGATGATAGTGCGAGGATTTGACGTAAACCTTCTCATGCTCTTGACACCAACTTCTCTCCGCCTAGCGAAGAGGAGGTCGCCTCATCCCCACACGCCCGCGAGGAGGAATCAGCTGTCTCGTCCTCATCTCCTCTCTGCTCCGGAGAGCTCAGAGACGGCTCTCGTTGCTCCTCCAGCTGACTCCGACGAGAAGCTGCCTTGAGCTCTGCCTCCAGCCGAGCATTCTCAAGAGACAAGCTCTGGACCAGCTGGGGTCAGGGAAGAAGGAGAGCTGAGAGCAGAGTCACTCGCCTTGCAGCGCTCCTCGAGGCTCGAGAGAACTGCCACCAGCTCGAACGCTGTAGCGCTCTCGTCCTGACTGCGGGCACGTGACAACCTGCTACACTGCTGGGCTGCTGGACGTGCTCACCTGTTATGGCTGAGCAGAATCCTCGCTTGCCTTTCTCGCCGCATCTCAAGAAGAGCCTGTGGGGAGATGCTTGTTACACGTTACTTGCTCCTCCCTCCTCTCCCTTGCTCTCTTCCTGTTTCAGCTGGCGGACCAGCTCGTTCTTCTCCACTGTGTGCCTCTTGATCTCCTCCGCAAGCTGCCGCTCCGCATCTTCTCTCGCCTGCTTCGCCTGGGCTGCGATGGCGAGCTGCGAGGAGCTTGAGTTTCAGAACAGGGCTGCCTTGTCAGATCAGTCCTCACACTTTCCACATTCTCCTTCTCGATCTCTTCGAACGCTGTGCTCTTGTAGTAGCAGTGAGCTCCGGCAAGAACAAGCCAAAGGACCTCACCAGCTCCAGACATTCCTGGCTTCTTGTCCGCAGCTGATCCTTGATCTGCAAGATTGCGCTCATATCCTCCTTGTTCGATTCGATCTCCTGCTCCAAAGACCTGTGCAGCAGGTTCACCTTGCATGCAAGCACAAACATGATCGGTGCACCTCACACGACTTCGAAGGACGTCCATGGCCTCATTGTGACCCTTTTGCATCTCCATCATAAGCAACAACCCGTCGCCATGCAAATTCGACCGAAGAGACAGCATCTGTTTCACGGTTCGTAAGAGCTTCATTCATGTCAAAGAGCTGTCAGGTCTATACTCGCTGTGCTTCTTCTAGCTTTTGTTCCAATTCTCGACATCTGCAGAAAGGTTGAGATTCGTCAACAAGGGGCGTGACAGACCTCGCGCATTTCTCTTCAGTGCTCATGATGGCTTCTCTACTTCATTCTATCCGTAACGCGTCGATGATCCAAGTTGAAGGAGATCCGATGATCTAATTTGAAGTCTCAGCCCAACATTTCAATCTGATCCTTATGAGCGCTCAGACTGCGAGGCCTTTGTTCATCAACCCTCTCCAAGCTTGTCAATGGTTCTCTTAATGTGCAGCTCTTAGTCTTGCCTACATAACGGCTCATCCAGAACAGTGCAGAGGGGGGCAAGGCCGGGCAGCACACAGTACAACTTCCGACTCACTACAACACTGACACCTCGGGCCTACGTCGTGACTGTCACTACCATACTACAATGGTCATCGCTTTCTTTCCTAGTGTCCTTCGTGGCAACCCACTAGAACAAACTGGAGTTGTTTCGTAACCTGTCTTTGTAAACATCCTAGTCACAAGTAGTAAGGCATTCGGCCGAAGGCTCGACTAACTCAACTTCCTTCAGTCTGAGAGCTCATCTCTGCCGCCCCTCAGGCTTCATCCTTCATAATGACTCTTTGTCGCCTGTGGGATCCGGCGGCTGCATTCCGTTCAGACCCCATCGTAATGGTTTTCACTTGCACTTGAGGGTGAGGACCCACCACACCGCCTGAGGACAGTGATTCATCCGAAAACTTGGGGAAAAGGTAGGGGTAGGGTAGGGGGTACGGGTAGATGTGGGTAGGGGTAGGGGTAGGGTGGGGGGGAGGTGGGCGACCGGAGCCTCGGAGTCGGCACAAGGCGAAAAGAAAAAAATCAATCGGATCGATTTGATTCGAATGAAATTGAACGTCTGAACGTCTGAACTTCTCAGGTTCGAAGTTTCAAATTTTCGAAGTTTCAAGGTTTCAAAGTTTCAAAGTTTCAACGTTTCTACACGGCCGTTCCAAGTACCAAACGTTGTTGAGTATTTACAAACGAAATGTAGTACCCCTTGCAAATTAAATGTACCCCTACCTGTCCCTTCTATGTACCCCTGTGTATCTATAGTAAATGAGTACCCCCTTGCACCTACTACCTTCCCACCCACTTTCGTTCAGCTAATACAAGGGAGAAACTCCCGCCATGGCTAGTTCAGGCACAATGCGCATGCTTTCTCCTCTCCTCGCTCCCCCAAACCCCCGCCTCCCGTCTCTGACCTCAGGCTTCGTATCCTCTAGAACATGTCCCTTCCTTGTTGTTGGTCCCTCACGTCTCTGTGTTCCTTATGATCTAGGCATCTGCAGTCAACCATGATATTTTTTGTCCGTTTTGGTTGCTTTGCGTGTGACAAGATCCAGCGTCTAGAAGTAACCTTCTTTACGTCCGTATTCCCAAATTATATGTGAGAAATATGATGGTGGGTGATCTTGAGGTTGTTCAATGTTGAATTAACCTGTGAATTTTCCATTCATGCAAACCGAAATTACAATCATATTTGCTTTGTCGAAGGTCTTTCCTCGATAATGGATCACGCCACATCATCATTCAGAATGTGAATCTTGATAAATAATCCTAATTCATCAAAGGATACTTTGCCCCTTGATACTTTTGATAAATAATCCTTTTTCCAGGTTCATCGAACCCTGCATTGAAGACACCATGACGTCTGCAGCTGTCGATTTTGCTAGAGTCGCCACGGTGATGGTCGACTGGCAGACAGAGCAGTACGAGAAAGAGAACAGAGAGCTGCAATGGACGCTCTTCTGGTCAGTGTACAACTCGCGCAAGTTGAATCACTGGCTACAGAAGCTCTCGAGGAGGCTGGGGTGCAGGTGCACTGACTGTCAGAGCCTCGGTGCCGCCCAGGAGGATTCTGAATGTAAGACCATGGAATGGCTGGATGAAAACGTCCGTTCTATTGGCATGAAAGCAGTTCCATGTGATTGTTTGCTTCCTGACTGCTGCTCCAAGTCGAGTCCGGCAAAGGGTCACTATTGCGAGAAGAAGTTTTCAGTCTTTGTAGTCAGTGATAGCCATTTCGTTCATTCTCGTGCTGGGATTCGATACGGATCTTTAATAGACAACATCAAGACGATCGACGATCCGGAGTCAAAGAAGCTGCAAGAATTGTTTCGAAGGATTGTATACGCCTGCGATCATACTTACAACTGCTGGGGCATCATGGGGGAGCTTGTCACTGATGTGAAAATCATGTCGATCTTTGTTGAGATCAGACAGTCCCTACTGAAGAAACTTAGTGTGATAACGATCTCAAAGGAGTGTTAGTCTCGATCAGCTCCTTATCTCATAGTATGAAGATGGATATCTCATAGTGTGAACATGGCCATGTCATTACAAGCAGTAGAACTGTCTCTACCTTCTATCTTCCTACCACCATCATCTCCTCTCCTCCTCCTCCCTTCCGCCTTCCGGTCCTACAACGGAAGCACTACCTCCACCCCCTGTAAACCACAAGATTGACCATAAACGGGAGGGTGGGGTCAAGGACAGGTTAACTTTGGCCGGATATGAAGAGACCGATGGTCCCCTAGTGAGGAGGGAACGATGGAGTGAGACCGAGTGGTGGGACTGATCGCCGATCATGAACGCCCACGTGTCTGCCGCTCTTGTGTATGGGAGGCGTGGGAGTGATGTCAGCTCGATATCTAGAAGCAGGATGAGCTACTTCAATGCTGGCGGAGGAGAATCGTTCGAAGAAATCTTTACCAAGAGCGAAGAGGTGAAGAAGCAGGGTCAACTGTTGAAACTATGTGCTGGGGGGAGAAACAATTGGCAGGCAAGGTGAGGGAACTCGATAGGATGAACGACTCGATTGCAAGACTGACTTGCCCTCCACAGGAATGCTATCCTCACACACTCTGAGTTCTTGCTTTTGAAACCAGATCATAGCCTGGTTGCTTGCTGTGATGACTGCTACGATCTGTTTCATTGACGGCCTTTACCAGATACGAGATGTTATACCTGTGCATGAGATTACAAGTGTCAAGGAGGTCGTCGATAAGGTCCCAAATGTTCAAACTGCTCCATCCTGTACCTCCTGGTCTCGGTCTTGTTTCTGTACAAGTGTTTTCTTCTTTCCGATTCTTTTCTTTCTCGTCCATGCATGTCTTTCTGTCTGTTCACTCTTGTCTATCACTCCTGAGCATCCACAGGCGAGGCATGGAGCAAAAATTGCAGACATTACCAGGGCCTTTGAGAAACCTTCCAAGGTAGTACAACATCGCTTGCACTTCGCGTGAAGCTTGTTGTTGCAATCAGAACAATATCCAACGAAAGATCTCAAAACTTTTTCAGTCCAGCCATGTTCAGAAAGCGCCTGCTCCTGAGGAACATGAACATCACTTTGTAGTGACCACAATCGCTGGTGGATTGAACAACGGAAAAAGTTTTCACATTCGAGCTCACAATGCGCATGACGTGCAAAGTTGGGTGTCGATTCTTCGTGAGGTTGAGCAGTGAAATTGGGTAGGAAAGATGTGATGGCTGATGTGTGATAGGAATCAAAGATTCGAATCGAGAGCCTACGAGAAAAGCCAGAAACAAGAGTAAGTCTTTGTGTGTTGATACTTGATTGTCATCTTGCTCTTACCCTTGATGCCCTCAAGCTTTCAAAAGTCCGCAAGTTTATCAGAAGCGTTTACGATGCATACTTCTTTCAATTGATGACCTCAATCTTTATCCTGTTAAACTTCGTGTCAAACATAGTGGAAGCCCAGGTACCTATTGTCCATTCTGATTGCAGTCGTACAACTTACTTCTCCTCCCTCCCCTCCTCCCTCGCTCTCTAGTTGGTGCCCGCAGCCGACACACAACTTGCATACGTGAGGTATCTGGCATGCGTTCAGAGCATGAAGTTGGAGGGTTGCAGGTGTTCGGGGTGATCGACTTCATCTTCACAGTCTTCTTTGGTGTTGAGCTTTTGATCAACTTGCTGTCACACTGGATGAGAGATTTCCTCAAAGACTCGTGGAACATCTTCGATCTGGTGATCAATGCTGACTTGTCACGATGCCTCATGACATGTCGGCAGGTTGTCGTTAGCGTCTCCCTCATCTCTCTCCTGCCTCAGATCAGTAGATCACACTTGTCCGTTCCTCCAGCTCTTCACCTCCTTGTGCAGATATACCCCTCTTCAACTCCCTCCGAGTGCTGAGGATCTTCAGAGCGGTGAGGGCAGCTGAATCGACATGCTCGCATCTGAGAAGCTTTCTTCTTGATCAACCAAGGCTCGGCTGATCAGAAAGCTTCATTCTCTCAGAGTCTTGTTCAACGCCATGTTTGCTTCTTGTCTCCTTGCACAACAACAAGTTGAGTAACCTGATGCAGCATGGGCTCGATTCTTCCCGTCATCAACTCTGTCCTGGTGCTGCTTGTCGTCATAGTCATGTGAGTCTTGAAACACCTGATGCCAAGATTGTGAGCATTCCTTTCAGTTATGCGATTCTTGCTGTCGATATCTACCAGAACCGAGACAAGAGATTCGAAAACCTGCACGAGTCTCTCTTCACCATGTACCAGGTGAATGCCCTACCATCCTCTGCCCTCTCTTCTTCCCTTCTCTTCCCTGCTCCCCTGCCTTCCCTGCTTTCCTGCTCCTCGTCATGCCTGCTCTGGCAGGTATCGACGGGAGACAGCTGGGCGTCAGACATCGCGAGGTCGCTCTTCTACGTGTGCATGCAGGACGGGAAAGCCGTCGGCTCGCCGAACCCTCCTGGAGTTCCCACGGGAGTGTGCGAGGTGATGCAGGGGCGGCGGCGGCTGAAGGGAGCAGGAGGGGAAAAGAGAGAGGAAGAGAGGGAGGGAGGGAGGGAGGGAGGGAGGGAGGGCGAGGCAAAGAAGAGGCGAGGACAGGGAAGGGAGTGAGATGAGGAAAAGAGCCATGAGGATAAAGTTGACTTGCTCTCAACTGCTCGTGATGTGCAGGTTGGGACAAACGAGTTTGATCAGGGCACACTAGCCTTTTTCTTCTCCTACTCGGTACGTCAAACAATAGCTTGACTGAGGAGGTTGAAAGCCTCGCAGACTATCACAGGCATGATCCTCCTCAATGTTGTCATTGCAGTCTTGTTAGACAACTTCACAAGAGCTGCGGCAAACGAAGATCAAGTCAGATGCTTCTTCCTTGTCCTTGTCCTCCTCCTCATCATCATCAAATTATTGTTTCCTCCTCCTCCTCCTCCTCCTCCTCCTC